TTTTTACTCTGTCATAGGTAAAAAAAAAACCTAGCAAGTTTTGCAATTTTAATGATTATTCCTTTTCAGGATTATCTAGTATATGTTTACAAATCAGTTTAAAGTTTACCTCCGCTCCTTTTGCATGAGCGCCGCATGCGTTCTTTGAGAAAATCATGATCATTTCCATCCCTGTTGTTTAAATCATTCGAAGATGGGTTCGTGAGAAATTTTTGCTGAACTCTTTTTTTGTTTCATACGTACCTCAATATTTATTACAACAAAATCACATTACAATATCTGAAAAAAATTCCAATACTGTGCTGTAGTATATTATACAAAATATTTCCTGTTACGCTATGCTGATCTTCTTGTATCTGTTCTTCCGACCAGATCGCAATTAAAGCTTGTGTCACTTCATTTGTCCAGGCATCCATTATTATTATTTATTTATTTATTGTTTACATCTATGATGCAATAGGTCAACCGGAAAAAGCCCAATACTAACAAGCTGAAAGAAGCCACATCGCCAGCTATCGTAGCGGAATCGGACTTCGGTCAATAAATCGATTCCCTTCCCGTGCATGTATACTGGGGCAGAGAGAACAGTCAGATTAAATGGCGTAGCTGAGCTACAGGGGCGTTGCTAGAGATTTTGGGCCCCATGAAAGCATATCATATTAGGCCCCCCAGTCCAAACCAATCCAGTTATTTTCCTAATTTTTTAGGGCCCCTGTCACTCAGGGGCCCTTGGAATCGTCCTAGCTTTCCTCCCCCTTACGGCGCCCCAGCTGAGCTATAACCGTAGCTCGACTTAGCTGTGCATGTAAACATACTGAGCGTCTTCCACTTTTTACTACTAAAGTGCCTGTGACCAGGAGGTCGCCAGCTGAAATCCCATGTTTGGCAGAGTAGCCTCATCTCTCTTGGGCCCCTTAACAAGGTCATTAACACCCAAGAAATGGGGGGGGGGGGGTTGGTTGGCTGATGCTGTGCTCCATCCTGAGTTACACTTTCCCCTGTGTGTGTGTGTCCTAAAACAGGCAGCAAAAAAAACCAAACATATTCCAACATACCTATTCTCACACCTGTACAATGGCAAATTCAACTTTGTTTCCATCACATCTTTGGCTACTATCAGGTTGTGTAATTGCCATGGAAGAAGATGTTTGGGGTGAGAGTCAGATTTATCTGTGGTGCTCCGCGATTCCTGGAAACACCAGCGCATATTGTGTTCTGATTCCAGCGCAGAGGAGGTCCTCATTCAAAACAACCTCCACAGCCTACATCCCAGACAAAGCTGGAGGTAGACAAACCCCCAGCACAGATCCGGGTTTGGTGTGAATCATTCCTCCCTCTTTGACTAACATCTGGCTCGATAAACACCGCAGGGCTCAAGATACGCTCCCTTTCATTCCGGCACAGATAGCCAGCAGCCCTCCTCAGTGAGGGTTGCGTCCCAAGCACCCCGCCCATGGCACGTCGCGTACGGGTCCTCAGAAAACATGAGATTATCTCCATAAGCTGCCCTTGGTGAATACCCCCCCCCCCCCCAGAGAAAAACACACACGGATCCTGGGAAAAGGCTGATGATTCCCGGGAAACTGGTATTGTGCAGGATTATAGATTATAGGTTATAGAAAAGGACATTAGGTGTGAAACAAAATCACATTCCAGCATCTGATCAACCCGAATTACACATTTTTGCTGAAAATCCTCTTTAAAATCCTAATGCTTTTTGGAAAATTATGATTCGTTTAAGGAGAATGAGGCATGAATGTTACCTGAAAGGACCACAAACAGTCCTTCAGGGGAAAAAAATAACATGAATATTGGAGAGAACCTTTTACAGTACATGTTGGCACCATTATAATATAAAAAAAAGGAAAGATTTCTATGTTTTAACTTATTGTGTTAAATAGTAAAAAAAAAATCTGTGTTAAAAATAGCACTGAGATCTGGAATTTCACAAGCTATCGAGGTTGATGAGTATTGTTTGGACAAAGGGGTATATTACAGTCATGCGCATTCATTTCCGAGCGCATTAAAAAGGAGAGTTCTTCACACTCGCATTTATTGCAGTTCTGCTCTATGGGTGCATTGCAGAGGCAATGGTAGGCCTCGTCCCCGGGCCTCTCCTACGTCAGCCGCTATTCAGGAACGGCGCAGGTGGCCGAGGAACTTCCTGAACAAAAAACACTGGCACACACACCCCTTTCCGTCACATGAAACGGATTTTTGGAATTCCACCATCCGCGTTGTCGCTGGGACTTCCTGTTCCAGCGCGCCGGCTGCGGCTCATGGACGGCGCAGTGCGCCCATGAAGATTCTTCGTCATTTTGTCCCCCCCCCCACCCCCCCGGCATGACCGCTTATTCCACACCAGTCAGGCAGCAGATGTGCAAATGCTGTGGCGAACTGCGTTCCCCTCCCCCATAATTAGCACCAGAATCTCAGCGCAAACGTGAGGAATGTGCCGTCGCCCCCCCCCCCTCCATTTTTTCATGTCGACAGCAGAATGTGCCCTGTCCCCATCCCTCACCCTCCCCCCCCCACCTCTGACACGAACAGCGGGTCAAGGTCACGGGCAGCCTGGCAACTGAGAGCGTCCTGTTGCTCCCACGAGACACTCCTGCTGTTTGGTCGCGAGACGGTCTGTCCTTGGCCCAGCGGGACCGTGAGATCCGGCCCGGTCCCGGTGTGGGTGGGTGGGCTGCTTCGCCACCCATGGATCACAAGACTGAACCAAGGACATCTTTCTGTCATCTCCTCAGAAAGACAAATTACACCAATTTGAAGTAAACTGCTTCTCCATAAGCATTAGCGGACAACTGTGTAGGTCAGGCCTTCCCAGAAACATACAGCTACACAACGTGCCACCCTTTTCTTCAGAAATGTTAGAGAATTTGGGGGGAAAAAATGCAAAATGGACCCTGAAAGAAAGTCATAAATATGTACAGCCATGATTCGCTACTGGAGATGTGATCACCCGATAAGCGTTAGAGATAAGGTTTACATCACGAGTTTTAAATAACACACCTTTAGTGTATATCTACTGTTATCTGTTGATGTTTCTCTTGAAGTCATCCAGGTACCGCGAAGCAGGGTGCGGGCGAAAGGAGCGGCGTCCTTGAGCAGTGACTACAGCTCAGCACAATGGTGTCTTTGATCCCGAAGTTCTATTTATAAACCGTGTTCATGGCTTCCCAGATATGCAGCCTGATCTCTGCGTAACTGTACACTGCAATATCACAAAGGCCAGGATAGATGGAATAGATAAGTATATAAATTATCGGGTAACAATTTACTTGACAGGGCACAAATAATATAGTATGATGTTATTCATGTATTAATTAACCACAAACTATGTCTTAGTTACATACTGATCTCATGTTAATTCATCATTAATGAATTGTGACTTTGTTACAGTATCTAATTCTGTAAACCTTTGTGAACTATTGAAGGAACAAGTCATAAATAACACAAGTTGTTCATTATTTATACTTCATTAGTAATTGAGCTATTACTGTATTTGTGCCCCATCAAGTAACATGATCCCCGATATTATTAAATTAATTAGCGAGAGGTAAGTCCATTTGACGAAATGCACATGTGCAGAATTCTTTACACTTTCTCCAACTATATCAGAAAATTTGGCATATCTTCTTAAGTAGATTTCAGTGCCCTATTCAATAGCAGGTTCTCTGTGTGATGTATTTCCGAAAGCTGAACAATACTGAACAATAAACTATGACACCAAAGCTTCTCTGCAACCATAAACAGCTGCACTCAAATAAATGCCAGGGGTTTGTTTTTAATGGGTTACCGTAAGGGGTAGGTTAGATGACCACAACCACTCTAGCAAAGGAGACTTGGGCTTGGTAATGATACCAAATCTTAAGGAGAACAGACAGGCTATGATCTGAATTTTAATACTGACTAGGAAACCCAAGGCTACAATGGAAACCGGATGTGGTCCTGTTCATGTGAAAACAAAAGGTTTTCTCTGCACAAAAGGCAAGAGCCTGCGGTATCAATCTCCCAGCTCTGGGATTTGAACTAATGACCTTCCGGTCAAAAGCACAGCTTTCTGATAACAGCTTTCTGAAAACAGGCACAAACCTAACTTTTCTGCACACAGAAGGCAAAGGCCCATCAGTGGCACCAATCTGCCAGCTCTGGAATTTGAACTAATGACCTTCCGGTCAAAGGCACAGTCGTAACCTGCTGAGCTGCACACTACCACCCCTGTAAAGGAAGACATGGCCAGGGTAGTTAATGAGGCGTCCAGGGTGTCTCCATTAGTCATTGGGATTGTGTTGGGTGGAATTTGGCAGCAAACCACTGCACTGTACAGGGTGGGAGTCGTCCAGCAAGTGGCTGACCATCCAACCGTTTTGTGATTATCTGCTTCAGCTCTGCCATTGGCTACATCTCAAGTGAGAAACGACCTTGAAACAGGACAGGATGCAACAGTAAATAAAGGACAAAAAGTGCAACTGCAGTTATTTCCTGAACATGACTTACATATTTTTTCCGATATATAAAACTACTGGGAAGAACTACACGATATAACATTTTATATCCTTTTATCTTAGGACATGTTTATCATAATATATTCTGTCTTTCATATAAAGAAAACTTCACTGCCTTATAGAACCTGTAGCAAACTCGTACAACGATGTAAATATTTTTTTGCCGTTTTTCGTTCGTTGCTCCATTCCACCTTTCCGCTACACCTGTAGGAAAATCATGCAGTAATTAAACTAAATCGTTTTTACTTCCGGACTTTACTTGGGATTTATATTTTTTTCTCAGTAATGCAACTGATTTCCCAAAGGAATGTGCCCTGGTATGGAGGCACGGATTAAACACCACACGTTAATGGCAGGCGGATTTGGAGGGATTGGGGGGTGACCGCCGCGCATGCTCAGTCGCACAGCAATGGGAGGTGGGGCTCTGAACTTGCAACGCAGTTCCTCACATGCTGATCCCATCGAGGAGAGATTCTACATACTGTAGCGCTCCCTGTCATTCCAGTAACTGGGTCTGGTAAACCTCGTTAATTCAGTCATATTTAATGCTCGTGCACATGGGAATTTCACTTATAAAATAAGTACCTGAATCATACATGACTTTCCGTGTAGTTGTGCACTGGTAACTTATTTTGCTTTTAAAGTACTCATTTCCAGGCATGAGTGAGTTTAAAATTAAATAAAACGTCATTTATATTGCAAACACCCCCCAACAATTATGCATATAAAAAGTAGGCTAGCTTTATAATTTACTGGATAATTTTAAATGTATTATACCGATGTTATTTTTGATGTTTTAATTTGTTATTAAACGATAAACGACAATATACGATATACTTGAATGTCTAACAGAATATTGAAATACACGATAAATCACGTCATAGGTATAGTAAGCATTATGTTATAAACATATACACCCTAAATTACAAAAACACGCAACAAAAGTAATGGGGGTCGTGTTAAAAAAATGAATAATCAACGACATAGTGAAATGTGTTCCCTTAATATTTCTATAATATTAATAACTCCGTGATGAGAAACTGTTAACTTATTGATTCAGCAGGACCGGTTTACAAGTATTTTGCAAAATTTCAGATGATGCAAGTAATCCCTAAATCCGAAGCGCTGCATTTACATTATTCATTCGGCGGGGTGTGTCTTGTAGGCTTGTTTTTCAGCGCCTGTATATATTGCGAGGTCTGAGTCAAAGATAAAATGCAGATGGAAAAGGCAAGTCTTTACACATCGGTAGAAATAAGCTCCACAGATCCACGGGACAGGTCCCAGGCTCCGTCTTCACCATGACACGCAGGCTGGCTGCACTCTGGCTGACTGCTGCGGCGCTGATGCGGATTGCGGATGCGGTGGGACCTGTGGTACAGTGCGGACCGTGCGACCCGGGGGCGCTGGAGCAGTGCAAGCCGCTGCCGGCAAACTGCGTCGAGAAGGTCCGGGAGCCGGGCTGTGGCTGCTGCATGACCTGCGCCCTGGCAGAGGGAGAACTTTGCGGCGTTTACACCAGGAGGTGCGGCGCCGGGATGACTTGTCAGCTGCAGCCCGGAGAGGCGAGACAACTCCAAGCTTTACTGGAGGGACGGGGAGTTTGTTCCAAAACAGCCTTGAAAAAAACCCCACGTTTACCGCCTGCGGGTGAGCAAGGTAGGCTGGCTGTTTATGATCGCGGCTAAAAGCGGCGTGTTACACTGACAAGCCCGAAATGCGCTGGTGCGGCTGGGAATCTGCTGCGCTGGTGCAATGTGAGGTTTGGGGGGGATCTCGTTCGAGTGGCTGATATTGCAGAAGTCAGCAGGCTACAAGTTGGGGAAGAAGACTTTCTGTCTTGTTTTGCGGAGATTAGATAGTTGTTTCAGATTCACTTATGTGAAGCACTTGTCACTTTTTGTCCACTTATTCTTAAATTAATTATATCCCATTAGAGGCAAGCAATCAGCATGATCGGTTGTTCTCACCGTGGTCACTGGACATACATTGCAAAACTAAAATTAAGCCATACAAACTCTTACACACGCAGTAGAAATATTATCACGTTGCATTATTTCCATACGATGAAAAGATTTATTGTGCAATAGAAGTACAATTATTCTAATTACACTGTACTGTGTTTTCTCAAACTGCCTACGGCCAGGTACATCATTAAGCGTTTGTTACTGCCTTGAAATACAGGCTTGAATAACGATTCTATTCTGATGTTAAAGGATCGACTTATTAGTGCGTGTTGTGAAATTACAAATTGTTTGAAATATGCATTTTGTATATTACGTATATTACTATTCAACTGTTATGAAATTACTCACTGCTTTTGGACGCGCAAATAATTGTTAAACGTTCAAGGTGGAGATGCTGGATAAGCAAGTGGCTTTTTTTTTTTTTAAATGAAAATGATAATTATACATAAAAACCGGGTCTGAGGGTTTTTACGAGAAGCTTGAGCGAAGTATTTCCTATTTAGCGATTGCAGTCCGAGACAAAACCAAGTCGTTTCGAGCCCCTCTGCCTGTGGTACCGCCCTACGACCCTGCGCTGGATTAAGTTATTGGAAGATGGATGTCAACTGGAATGATACCGTTCAACGCTTTGAATCGTGTATTATACAATGCAAGACATTTTATTCCCATGAATTATGAATATTGCCATCAAAAAACTCTTGAGCTTTAACGGAATGATTCGTCTTGAATGGCTGGAGGGTGTCAGATGACATTCAGTCAGTGGCATTGACTGCTTTTATGTGTTCTGCCGGTAATTTGTTTTGTTATTGATCAGGGGTATCCATCCATCTGAACGTGACTCAGAAAATGAATCCTTCGCAAGGCAGGTAGCCGTCTGCCGCTTTTATTTAAGATTGTCATGTTCAGGGAAAACCAGTTGATTTGAGGTTCACACCAATGTGTAGTGATGGTGGAGGAAATTTACTCTGTGTTACAGCTTCCTTTAAAGGGTGTCATAGAGAGTGTGTGTGTGTGTGTGTGTGTGTGTGCGTGTGTTATGTATATATTACACCGTGAAGACCAAATGTACCCACAATGTGATTATAAAATGTTATTTTGACATTGTGGGGACCATTTTTTCGGTCTCCACAAGGGGAAAATCAATTTTAAGGTTGTCATTGTTGGGATTCCGGTCTTTCCGATAGAAATGAATGGGCGGTCCCCCAAAGATATGAATACAAGTGTGTGTTTGTGTGTATGTGTGTGTGCCTTTTGTGGTCCTAAGTGTGTCTGAATTTCTGAGTTTACAGTGATTTGTTAGATTTGTGTTGTGTGGTATGTATATATATATATATATCCTTGCTGAGAGATTGGGGAGGGGGTGGGGGGGTGCCAGGCAGAAATTGGATACAAATCGACAATAATTACCAAGCTTTAGGTTAGCCTGCTAATCCTGGGCTTAGGGAACCAGTCAAACGACACCAGGTGACGTCGTCGTGGCGGTGGACTCGCATGCACTCTGAGAGCCGCAGGGTACAAGCTGCCTTTTATGATGATGTCACAGACGACACCAGGTGACGTCGTCGTGGCGGTGGACTCGCATGCACTCTGAGAGCTGCAGGGTACAAGTTGCCTTGTATGATGAGGTCACAGACGACACCAGGTGACGTCGTCGTGGCGGTGGACTCGCATGCACTCTGAGAGCTGCAGGGTACAAGCTGCCTTTTATGATGAGGTCACAGACGACAGTGTGCAGGTTATGGGAAGTCACATGTTACAAACAGATGTTAGCACTTACCAGGTAGGCCGAGATGATTGACCTGTACAGGACTGCTTCAGAGCAATCGGCAACAGTTAGCGAGTATATTCCTAACGAGTCCAGCGGGCACACCTGCCAGACCGTGTTGGTGCGTATGTCACACATTGATCTATTGGAACAATTACGTTTTTTTTTTTTCAGAAGTCTACGGACGTGCAAAACTTTTCTGGCTACAAGCCATCCATCCATCCATCCATCCATCCATCCATACACATTTCTATGACCACTTATCATGGGGGCTGGCTACAAGCAATCCTTTGATTTAGAACTTCTGTCTGAGTTTCACAGATAGATAGATAGATAGATAGATAGATAGATAGATAGATAGATAGATAGATAGATAGATAGATAGATAGACAGACAGATAGATAGATAGATAGATAGATAGATATACCTTACTGCCATTTGCACAAGTACAGGACAGTATGAATACATTGCAATTCTAGTGTGTAGCTCACAGATATAGCCTTCAAGATAGAAGAAGTGCAAAAAGAGAACTGCACCATTAATAACAATCACACACTAATATAAAAAAATATATATATAAAAATAAACTATAAAAAGAAAAGAATCTCACGCTGGATTCTCACAACTTCAAATATATCTAGTGACCAGGGCAAACTAGCGGCAGCGGTGAGCCCAGAATCACCCGCAGCGATGAATAAGGTGTGCCCCTCCTGAAGACTTCCGGAAGATTCCTGGAAGGTGCCTTGCAAAAACAGGCGACGCATTTGGCGGTTTCAGTTTTTAATTTGTGGAAAGGAAATGACCCCCCCCCCCCGCCCCCCAACCTTACACACAGTTTATGTTTTGGGTTAACTGAACCCATTACTGGTGACACAGATCACAGGCTTCTACCTCACGTGTGTCAGTGTTATTGTGAATCCACAGGCAGCTCGGCTGTAATTCGGATAGCTAGGCTGCTCGTGAACGGCAATCTGCCCGACAGGTCCAAAGCAGAATTGTGCAAATGCTAGATTTAAAACTTAAATCCCCAAGCACATATATACAGGTTTACATTGCGAATAAATATTGACGTTACGCAAGTTTCCAAAAATGTCTTTTTCTTAAGAGACTGTGCCTGTTTGTCTGCTATTTTTAAAGTAAAATCAACAGATGTGTTTTGACCAATATTTGAAAGTTCCCCAGTCTCAGGAGCCTTGGTTACTAATTGACCCACCAAGGAGGGGAGGGTTTGGAAGTGGCCACATGTCCCTGGTGCCTCACACCCCCACACAGTGGCATCTCCGTCTGAAGTCTGCTTCCACTTAGTCTGAGGCATCCCATTCCTTTTTGGTCTGCTCAGGTCCCCTCACGCTAGCCCAACCCGCCCGGGAAACCGTCAGGCTCAGAGTACAGATCGAGGCTGAGCATTTTGTCAAAGACGACAAGAAGAACCCTGAAGCTGGAGCCGGATGGCGTCTTCCCACAGACAGATGGAAGGATCGACTGCACAGCCAGGATCCATGTGTCTGTTTAGTACATTCTTTGATTCACGTCCCTTGATTGTAATTGGTCTATTATTTGCGGGTCACTTTCACCAATCAGTGCACAGCTCTCCCACAGAGTGTGCTGTGATTTGCTGTGTGGAAAAAGATGGCAGGGCAGGCGGAGATGTAAATGAAAGGTATTAATATCGAGTGTGTTGTGCTCCCTGGTAGGATGCAGTAGGTAGAATTAGGAAATAGGCCTCACGTGAAATAGGCCTCACGTGAAATAGGCCTCACGTGAAATAGGCCTCACGTGTGCCCGATGCTGCCTCAATTCTTGATTATTGCTGTCTGAGAAAATGAACTAGAGTTCGGGGGAAATTAACAAACGGAGAGACTGGTGGGTTACCTTGTTAAGGTAAATGAAAGGTTTCTTCGCTGCATATGATGGTCAGCTTTTGGGGAATCTTTTTATTTTTTTGCCTGCAAATCCACACTCCTGCATAAAACTGTATTTTCTTCTCTCTCAGAAATAGTCAGTCTCAGTGGTCTCATTCACCTTGACACGAATGTCTGCACTTTATAATCTGTCAGCATGAATGCCGGTTGACTCGACCGCCGAGGCCTGCTTGAAGGCCTGCTTGAAGGCCTGCTTGAAGGCCTGCTTGAAGGCTTCGGTGTGCACGCGTGGATGAGTGGTCCAGCCCTTTCCTATGTTTGGTTGCTGTGTTTGCATGTCTCCGGTCAGGCGGACTGTTCCGTGTCTGTAACAATTTGTCACAAATCCTCGCCAGTGGTATTTAAATAACTCCCCTGTTCCTTTCAGCATGCTCCGAGAGAGGCCTTCTCTGAAGGAAGGGTGGGGGCGGGGGGGGGGGGGGGGGGCATGTTATTCTTCGTGAAGTTGGCTTGGTGCATCTTTCAGAACCTCCGGATTGGGGTAGGAGCACCGAGGTGAAGAAGTGCCGGTAAAACCAGGCCTCTCCTGTGGTTCCGCAGGTAGACCGGAGCACCCCGGCCTGACGGAGGAACCAAGCGGTTCCAGGGCGGCCACCCCGGATCCCAGGATCGTGACCAGGGTGCCGGAGCACAGGACCCCCCACCATAACCCCAAGGCGGAGGTCATCAGGAGGGAGCAGACCAAGAAAACCCACAGCTTCAAAGTCCAACCGGTCCCAGAATATGAACACAAAGAGGTGCACAACTTCTCTGTGGACTTCAGGCGGGAGCTGGAGTACGTAAGTATCACATCCTTCACCTTCTCAGCCTGGATAAGCTCCCCCTGATTAATTTGGTCTTGAGGAGTCAACTTAGCTAGAAAAAAATCGATGACTTGACGCTATTCCTGTATCTCAGCGGAGTCGTTCTGTTGGTGGTTCATCTTCAAAGGCTGTGCCAACCCATATTGCACAGGCAATGAATCTTCCCGCTCGTGTATGTTTTGATGCCGGTATGCCCTGGTTTTGGTTGGATTACGCGCCGAAGCAAATTGTACCCGTTCCGACTCTTTGGTGGCTTGCGGTTTCAGTTACAGGGTTAGTGCTTGGAAGCCAGTGGCTCTCAGGATGGTCAGGCAAACAACAAACCTGCGAGTCAGCCTCAAAGAACTGGGCTGTGTGAACGCACTGAAGGGGACAGTCCCTGCTGAAACAGGAAGATTGCGATACATGTCACATTGTACACCGTTTAATCCAGTACGTTGTTGATTTGGGAAAGATTGTCGGTTTTTTGATCCACGAAAAGACCTCAGAACCTTTGAGCAGAACCTTTGGGCCTGAAACTCCATCTGGAAAATCCGAACCAGTTTACAATCAGCCGCTCCGAGGGAGATGACAGGTCAAACTGAACAAGCTGTTTGATTATTTCCTGAGGTCCTGCAGCCTGTGATGTTTATTTCCCAAAGGACTGGCTTGTTCGTCATAACATTGCTTAAAAAAAATGTATGTAAAACATGCCCCATAATTTTGATGTGTCCGCATGGGGTTGGAATTCTTCCGTGCACAACAATTGTGGGAGGGCTCCCAATTTTGCTAATGAAATCCATATCCGTTCAGTGTGGCGTGTAAACATGGCTACCCTGAGACACGTGGTACTGGGTTTGATGCTTGTAAAGGGAACGTTTACCTCTGCAGGCTCTTGTTCATCGGCTATATTGAGTTTCTGTTTGCCTGCCACTTGTATGTAGGTTGGGTGTAGGTTCCAGTGTTGAGTTGGCAAGTCAAAGGTAGAAAATTGGGGGTGGGGTTTTAGGTGGCACTCCTCACATCAGGACTCTTACCCCACCCGCCCCCCTACCCCTGCAGGGTCCATGTCGAACAGCAATGATAAGCATCCTGAAAAGGCTGAAGGCCTCGGACACCCTCAACCCAAGACGTCTCAGCATCCCCAACTGCGACAAAAAAGGCTTCTACAAGAAGAAGCAGGTAAGGATGTGGCCAGGACAACAACGTGGTTCCAGCTTAAAGATGATAGGCTGCCCCATCTGGAATCATCAGTTCCCCCTGTGGTCCTCCACTATGTCCGCATCCGTGATTATTCCAAAAATAAAGTTCAGGGATTAGGGGATAGACAGCCAGCCATCCATACAACATCGATAGCTTCTGATCGAGACACCAGGCGTGGCACTTGCAGGCAAAACGGCGAGAACCAGGTACAGTTTTTCGGGCTATATTGAATTAGCATGTCCCTACTGGTGAAAATCGGTGACCGAGTGGCGACGATTGGGTCTTGGACTAAGAGCATCTCGTATCACCAGGCCAGGTTTGTCAGAGTGGGAGACGCAGCAGACCTGACCTGGCATCTGGCGTGACGCGCGACACGTTGCTGTGCCGACGCGGCTGCGGTTCCGTGAGGTGCTGGCAGCTTCTGGACTGGCCAAGTGCACCTGCTTAATGAGAGCTGTCCAGGGTGCTGAAGGATGCAATGAGGCCATGGCTGGCAATTGTTCTCCAGCACTAGGATAAGCTCGGTGCCATGCAGGCGCCTCACTTTGATCGGCTGCAGCTTCTTGCAAACTTCCTGGAACGTGACATGACGTTCGCTGTGGTTTGAAAGTAGCTTTTAATGGATGAAACTTTAACAACCTGAACTTGGAGTTTCAATGATCCACAATGATCCACTGAATGTTTCAAAGATGTGTATACGTTGTCAAAGACCACAAATAGCTAGCAACAGGCTACACAGGCATTACCATAAATACCGGTCGACTGCCACCCCCTAAAATGCCTCACTATGTAATTTATTCGAAGCATGGCCGCCTCTGGCATGCGATTGTAGCAATGAGGTTGAAACCAGAGTAGCCATCACCTGAGTCACAGAGTCACAACAAAACACATGTGGTTCAAGTGGACTGTCAGTCTACTCTGTTGATGCACTTCTACGTTATTATTTCTTTTTTTGTGGCACCAGATTTGAGATTAAGAAAAAATATGGCCACATTTTGACTACATGTGAGCATAGTCTAGGAGCACAGACGAGGTGTCTCAGGGTCTTCACTGGGTGCCAGAGGGGGGGCCGTTTACACAAAATAAGGCCGTTTTCAAAGATCAGCTCAGGCAACGCTAGTTTGGACGTGGAGGGGCGGTCCCGTCCAGAGCCCCGTGGGCCCGAGCGCCTGGGGGCTGCAGCTAAAGGCAGACCCCAAGGTGGTCACCAGCTATGAGGCACCCCACCCATAATTGCTTGAGTCTTCTTGAAAGAGCAGCACTAAATTAAACCCAAGGGCATTTTAGAGATCGCATGCAGCCCACAATTGGTTTATAATAAATGACTGTCGCAGAAGGCAGTCATATGGATACAGTTACTTTCCCAAGCCATCGAATTACCAAAGTAATATTTATATTACTCTGTGTGTAGTACTTAATGTACACTTTCTCTTTGACCTACAATCTTTTGAAACCAGGGCAAGGAGACAGTATCTATTTTAGTATTTTTCAGAAAAGCAGCTAGAAAATCCTCGTTAGAGAAGCTCCGGTGAAGGTAAATTAGGAGTTACTTTCTTCTGAGCACGACTGAAGAGCCAAGACTTCTGATGTCTTTTAAAGAGCCGTCACAGAAAATGTCTTCAGATGTATCTTGGAAGTAAAAGGGAAGTTAAAAAAATGTTAAATCCTGCACCCGGTATACACATTCGCGATTCCCCGGCTAACCACTAATGAAACACTTTGGGCCTTTTTAAGCTATTAGGGAAGATGGACAGAGATATAAGCAGGAGGACATATTCTCTCTCTCTCTCTCTCTCTCTCTACTGAGGAGTCGGGGGT